TAATGGAGTGAGCTCTCGTTAACTTGTCCCAGCTTCTGCCAACCTAGCAGTTCGAAAGCACTTAAAAAAATGCAAGTAGAAAAATAGGGACCACCTTCAGTGGGAAGGTAACAGCGTTCCGTGCGCCTTCGGCATTTAGTCATGCCGGCCACATGACCACGGAGACGTCTTCGGACAGCGCTGGCTCTTCGGCTTTGAAACGGAGATGAGCACCGCCCCATAGAGTCAGGAACAAGTAGCACATATGTGCAGGGGGAACCTTTACCTTTATCTAAATCGTTGTATTTAAGTACAATGACAATAAAGATTATACTTATACTTATGTATATGTAGAATGACCCAGAAAATACCCCGTTTATTAAATATTTATATGTGTTAAAAATGTATAAATAAAAAATATATAAACAAAAAAAAAGTATTTTATGTGTAAGTAGTCCTCAATTTACAGTCATTCCTTTAATGACCATTCAAAGTTACATCAGCCCTGAAAAAAAGTGACTTATAACCATTTTTACACTTATAACCCCGGCAACAACCCCAGGGTCCCATGATCAAAATCTTGGCAACTGACTCATACTTATGACTGTTGTTATGTCCCAGGGTCATAGGAATGACTTTTGGTGACTTTGTGAGAAGCACAAAGAGGAGTGGGAATCAGATTCACTTAACAACCGTGGTACGAGCTTAACAACCGCAGTGACTTCACTTAACGATTGTGGCCCAAAGGTCATAAAAATGAGGCAAAGCTCACAGCGACGGTCTCCCTTAGCCACAGACATTAGTTGTGGTTGTCAAGCAAGGAAGTATTTGTTCCTCCACTTATTTCAGCCCGGAAATTGTATTTCTCCCCCGCCCCTCCCATTGCAAAGTCCATGAAATTGGATTTTTGAACAGGAATGGATTTTAATACTGCTGTGGTGGTACCATGGCGGCTGGGATCGCTATGTTTTTGTTTTTGTTTTTAGAACGAATTCTTTCCGTCAATTGCTCTTTTTGAATCATGACAGTTATTCTGCTAGATCTCTGAAACCTATTAAATCCATATTTGCTTTTCGGAATGAAGAGCTCCGATTCGTCCCGTTTATTCTCCGTATCTGAGCATTAGCATATAGACAGCAAAGGCCAAGGATGAGTCATTGTTTTTTTTCTCATTTTTCACGGGGTGGTTTAACATCCCCAGAGGGAGGCCACTCCTCACACCTGGTGTGAATCTTTCGTCACCATTTATTTTTTAATTCTTATTCCTCTACAATAGCAATAGCAATAGCAATAGCAATAGCAATAGCAATNAAATTGCCTCTTCAAAACCTTGGTGCGTGTCTGAAAAATACACAGCATTTAAAGAAAAGGAGACTTTTCTTGTTCAGACATGGGGGGGGGGGTCAGTGATCCACTACGGGCCACTTCCTGGAAGGGGGAAGAATGACCCTGCTGGTCAGCTGGGAAGACCCCCCTTTTCCCTTGGTCCTGCAAGATTAGATGGAAGACGCTCCGCCCTCCTGCCTCTCTTCTGGCCCGACTAGGGTGGGATCCGGTTCACACAACCTGTGCTGAGGGAGCTCCTGTTTCCTTATTTCTCTCCGCCTTTCCTGTCAATCCTCCTGGTTCTTGTCTTTCCTTGCTATTCCTTCCCTCGTGACTTTGCTCCTTCTCGGCTCCTTTTCCCAGACTGTCCCCCGCAACCTCAGAGGACAGCTTGACACCCCACCCACCCCCGGACAGGGTTAAAAGCCAGACCAGGGAATGGCAGCCCAGCCGGGGGTCTTCGCTGGAGACGAATGTGGGGGGGGGAACGGGCCGTCCTCAGCAAAGGCTGCAAGAGCTGAAGCTCGGCGCAAAGAAAACGCGGAGCTGAAGCTGTTTCCGTGAGCCTGCGTGTCATACGGGGACATTTTTATTGCTTTCAGGCTCCTGAATCACTCCACCCCGACAAGCACGAGAAACCGACCAAAACAGACTGTGGACACAGAAAAAAGGTACGGAGGGGGCTTTACGCGTTGAGGGGGAGGGAAATAGATGAAAACCATTGGTCTGAGCTTGTTGCGTGAAAAAGATTTTGCAGAGGGTCCCCCGAAACAAAGGGCCAATGAAAGGGACCCTCTGAAGGTTACTCTTGGGGAACTGACCCTACTGCAGAGAGTCCGGAGCTGTGAGGTTGGTGCATCCCCCACGTCCTTTCCAGAAATCCTTTCGCACACATGATCTGAATAAGACTTCACTGTGTCCTGTCAGGCCTCCAGTCATATTCCTCTCTGGATCTTTGGCCTGCCACTCTCTCTCTTATTTTACTAATGCTGTTTCATTAGTGGGGAAATGGGAGGGGGGATTGTACGGAGTTAGATGATATGTAGCCATAACAACATTCTTTCTAGAAAGCCAAGGTCATCATCCTTTGTCTCTGCATCTCTGCACCTGACCGGAACTGGATAGGTGGAAGCTGCCAGCGTGGCAGTGGGAACCATGGGATGGACTTGTGGGTGTGGGGGGCAAGATCTTGAGCTTTCAACTGGGTGGGGAAAACCCGGGAAGCTTTCAGATTCGGGTTTTCCCAGATGTGCCAACATGGCTCTCTTCATAAATTGGAACTTTGAGCAATCCTTTGCCTTGGACTCTGATTTAATTTTGGATGCTATTTGGAACGCTGACGTTAACCTGAATCTGAACGCTTCCTGGGTTTTCCCACCCAGCTGAAAGTTCATGATCTTGCCCCCCCGCACCCACAAGTCCATCCCATGGTCCAATCTTCTACTGCCATGCTGGCAGCTTCCACCCATCCAGCTCCGGTCAGGTGCAGAGGTGCAAAGACAAAGGATGACCTTGGTTTTCTGGAAAGAATGTTGTTATAGCTACATGCAGCCCTGTAGGGGGAGAGCCTGTGGGAGCGCCTTCCCTCTGGAATGAGCTGCCCCCGGAGCTTCGTATAATCCCTGACCTCCGGTCCTTCCGACGCACCCTAAAAAGTTGGCTTTTCCAGCAAGCCAGCCTGGCCTGAACAAAACAAAATAAATTATTGATCACTGTTAATTTTAATTCGATTTTTTAAAAAAAACTGTCATTGTCAATCCTAATGGGGTTTGTTTCGGATATTCTATTTAATTTCTTTTTAACTTTTGTATTATGTGTTTCTTTTAATGTTGTACGCCGCCCTGAGTCCTTGGGAGAAGGGCGGCATATAAATCTAATAAACCTAAACCTAGGTGCGTCTTATACTTCGGAGCGTATTACACTCTGAAAAATACGGTTCACCTCCCAGAAGTCACGTCTGGAGAAATGCAGACCTCTCAAAAAAATAATAATACTTCCTTTTACTGCGAACGTTTAAAATTTTATAGTTTCCCACATTGCTTGTGCTTTTCTTTAGGGATTTTTTTAAAAAAAACGAGTCCTACAATACGTAGGTTATTTGGTTATAAATATACATATTGGTAATATTTCAGCTCAGATTAGAAATGGGCTCCCTGGGTCCTGGGAAACTGTGAGAAAAGTTGGACGTTTTGAGTGAAGAGCCGCACACATTTAATAAAGAAAGAGAGGGGTTTTTCTTTTTAAAGCTAACAACTTTATGCTTTGTTATATTTTGTTTTTGTGTGTGTGTGTGTGTGCAGCCTTTCTGCAGACGAAGCAAATTCTCCGTCTTCCCCCTGCAGCTGGCAGGTAATGTAGAGAGGTGAAAGCATCCGGCAGCTCTCCCCGGGCGGCTGTAATTGTTCGGCTTGTTCCTCGCAAAATGTTTCTTCGCTCCCACGTTTGATCGCTCTTTATAGCTTGGGTTGCAAACGAGCTGCCTTCGTTCGTGGAAAGTGCGCCTGGCGCCGGATAATCGGGTGGGATTCCTTTGTGGCCGCCTGTTGTGCAGTGCGGTAGTTGCGACAGATCGCGTGACGCTCTGCCGCTGGGGAGCATTTGAACAGCTACCCCCAAATTCTGATCAGCTTCCTAGAAGGCCTTGTCAAGTCCAGCAGTTTTTAATAACGTCGGATGAAGTAATGCAACCCTAAACGCTTCACATTTTGCTTTTATTTTGCTGGGATTTTCTCTTCGCCATTTAGTGCTCCAGGTAAAACCCACAGTTGTCCTTTCCCAGCAATGAGTGGGATTCCTGCAGATTGCCCCAAGAGCAATCTTGGTGGCATTGATAGGCTTTTAATCCAAACCAAGGGGACACGGGAGCTCGGTGGCTAAGACTCTGAGCTTGTCAATCAGAAAGGTGAGCAGTTCAGCGGTTCCAATCCCCAGCGCCGCGTAACGGAGTGAGCTCCCGTGACTTGTCCCAGCTTCTGCCAACCTAGCAGTCCGAAAGCAGGTAAAAAATGCAAGTAGAAAAATAGGAACCACCTTTGGCGGGAAGGGAACAGCGTTCCGTGCGCCTTCGGCGTTGAGTCATGCCGGCCACATGACCACGGAGACGTCTTCGCACAGCGCTGGCTCTTCGGCGTTGAAACGGAGATGAGCACCGCCCCCTTGTGTCGGGAACGACTAGGACAGATGTGCAAGGGGAATCCTTTACTTTTAATCCAAGCCAATTGCGCAGTATAATGTTTAGTTAAGTGGGCGAATTCATGAATTGCATCAATATTTTTACCAGCGAACAGGTAGATCGATCTATGGAACAATATATCAACTAGTCACTGTCAGTATTTTGATTTAATAATAATGATGAAGCCCTACCAGCTGTCTAACACTCTCAGTGCAAACACTGATCATTTTGCTCGCATGTTTTTTATTCCATTTCCCAGCCTGTGCAAGGTAAGCTCTTGTTCTTGATTGGAAGTGAAAGCCCTTAATTGCTCTGAGCATTACGTTCACCAGAGAACCAGAGTGAACGCCACGCATGCAAATGTATCTGTGGCTCCCCTGCCTTCTGAATTCCATTTATTTGTGATTTGCCTTGCTGGGAAAAACGCTGGAAGGCTAGTTTGGGAAAAGCATGTATTTTCTTATATGTAAAAAGTCTGTTTTCCCCCCTTTCCTTTTGGATTGTGAGCCGCCCTGAGTCCCCCCAGGGAAAAGGGCGGCATATAAATAAACTTCCAAATTCCAAATTCCATTGCTCGTTTCACTGGAGACGTGGGACGATCCTGGTAAACTTCACAGATCCAAAGTCTTAGAGGTTGTTTTTCTCTCTGCAGTCTCTGGAAAATCAGAAGGGACACCCGGACGGCCCCCGTTGGCCAGATTTGCAGCCGGTCATCTGGCAGAACGAGGAAAGGCGGCGGAGCAAGCAGATCAGGAGGGAGTATTTCAAAGTAAGCCCCCCCTCCCTTCTTTCCCCCCTGCCTGCCAACTAACCAAAAGATCAGCCTAAGAATATATAACCCATTTCTGCCCTTAGAAAGTGTCAGAAACCCCTGAAAGAGAACTTAAAAGTCACGTTTGTAATTATTTTTCATGGCCAAAAAAATAATAATGAACAGAATAAAAACTTTTCCAAGAGCCGAGGTGGCGCAGTGGTTAGAGTGCAGTACTGCAGGCCACTTCAGCTGACTGCTAAGTTGCAGTTCGGCGGTTCAAATCTCACCGGCTCAAGGTTGACTCAGCCTTCCATCGTTTCAAGGTGGGTGAAATGAGGACCCAGGCTGTGGGGGGCGATATGCTGGCTCTGTAAACCGCTTAGAGAGGGCTGAAAGCCCTATGAAGCGGTATATAAGTCGAACTGCTATTGCTTATAAGGAAGAAAATTGGTGAGAAAAGAATAGAGAAGTGAAAGAGAAATAGTAGGAGAAAAAGATATATTTTTTTAATGGCCTTCGGTATTATAAATGCATTTGAATTTTATCTTCTCTCTTTTGAGTTTAGATCAAAACGCCCTTGTTCCCATAATCAAACTCACAAATCACGTACTGTAGATTATTATTTTTTTGCCTTTTTCAGTCCATAAAAGATTTCCAGCCCCAGATAGAGCCACATCCTGCCTTTTAAAATGCTTGCAAACAACCTACTATATTTTTCAGTATAAAACGCACCAGAGTATAAGATACTGTTACTGTTTATTAAATTTATAGGCCGCCCAATCCCGAAGGACTTCGGGCGGCTTACAGAAACAAAAATTTAAAAAGGATTAAAAACAAATAAAACACAACAAATTTAAAAGAGACACAACATGCATCCAATCTAAGCGGGGCTGGACCTCAATCCAGAGGTCAACAGCCCCAGGCCTGCCGGAAAAGCCAGGTTTTGATAGCTTTACGGAAGGCCATGAGAGTGGGTAGGGCCCAGATCTCTGGGGGTAGCTCATTCCATAGGGCCGGAGCGGCAACAGAGAAGGCCCTACTCCGAGGGCGTCGCCAGCCGGCATTGTCCAGCTGATG